CACGTGTGGTCCTCCCCGTGGTCATCGTGAAACCAAAAACGGGGAAATGTTAAGCCAGCAAAACAGAGCTTCACACACTAGACCTGCAGCTCCAGCGACAGTGCCTGCTCACTCCCTGGGCTGGGGCACCCTCCCTCCCGGTTTCTGCTGTTAATGCTGTCCCTCCCGACCTCTGACCTCTGACCTCCGCGGGGCGGGACTCGGGTTCACCTTTTGGGTTGTTGCTGTGGAGTGTGAGGGTGTCAGACACTGGGGGCCGGTCCTCTGTCTGGGCACCAGCTGGCGCTAGTTCAGCCCCGACACTGACTCAGGTGGAGGCACAGCCCCAGCGGACTGCCCGCCAGCCGCCAGCCGCAGGGGGTGCCCAGGACACCCACACATTTGGGGGTTCCCACGACGCCCACTCCTCAGGTTATTATAAAGGATACAATTAGGAACAGCCACGTGGGAGGTGCCCAGGCAGGGGCTGGGGAGGGCAGGTGTCCGTGGCCTCCGGGTGCACCGCCCGCCCAGCCGGAAGCTGGGATTTCTGGGGAGGGTTCATGAAGCAGGCATGATTGACTCGGTCACAGGCCAGTGACTACTAAGGTCGGGGGGTGTGGTGCTGAGAGTCCCACCCCTCTATTCATGCCTTGGTCCTTCCGGCGACCAGCCCCCCATCCTGAAGCTCTGTGGGCCCCCCCAGCCACCAGCCATCTCATTAGCATTCAGGAGATGCTTGGAGAGGCTGCGGGTTTTAGGAGCTGCGTGCAGCCACCGGACAAAGGCCAGATGCTGGTTCTTCACCGCAGCGCAGACACACACACGCACACACGCAGACACACACGCACACACACCCCTGTCGGCCCTCCCTCCGGGTGAAGCAGCCCCGCTGTCATTCCTGTGGCCCACGTGTCGCCGGGCGTGGCCAGCATCGTGCCTGTGTGCGCATCAGCCCCTCCCCCTAGAACATGAGCTACCTGAGAGCAGGCCTGGTCTGTCAGGCTCACGTTTCCCAGCGCCCGGCACATAGTAGGTGTGCAGGGAATGTGGGACTGGTGTGTGCCGGCCGTGATGCTGAGGGCTGGACCTGGCGTGACCTTCCTGTGTCTTCCCGCAGGTGAACCCGAACAGCACCGCCTCCCACGTGGGAAGCTCGTGATTTCCAGGTAGGACCGAGCTTCTGAGCCCGACCCCCGACCCCCGGCCCCTGACCCTGTGGGGACTGCCCTTCCGACCCCCGACCCCGCGGAGACTGCCCTTCCGAGCCCTGACCTCGCGGGGACTCCCCACTTCCGAGCCCAGGAGCCTCTTTTCTGAAAAGCTTGTCCCTCCAGAGCCTCCCTGGGGAGGAGTGTCCCCCAAGGGGGGCCGACCCACCCCTCTGGGAGGTTTCCATGGTGACCGGCCAGGGAACTATTTATAGAATCGAGGCTTAGTCTCCTGCTTGGGCTGGGCAGGGCTCAGTGCTGAGCCGCCCGAGAAAAGTTTGTCTGGCTCAGGGAGGCGCCCCAGGACCAGAGATGGGGGGTCCTGGGACCACTGTTGCCTGGACTGCCGCCTGCCAGGCCGGCTTCTGTTAACAGATCAGGTTTGGCGCAAAGCAGCTACGGTTCTAATCGTACCCACAGGCAGGCCTGGTCTAAGCATAACCCCACCGCCCTGTCACTCACTTAGTCCTCAGCGCCCCTGGGAGGCAGGTGACATGGTCCCATTTTATGGATGAGAAAACCAGGGCCCAGAGAAGGATTTGACTTGCCCAAGGCAGACAGGGTCACAAAGGGCAGAATCTCCCCCAAAGACATCTCCCCCGGAGTTTGCTTTAACGAAAGTGAGTATCTACTCATCTGTGTTTGCTAAGGGCAGTGGAATGGGCTCCAAACTTGGGTTTGAACTTAAGTCAAAGATTTAAGGACTCGCTTCATGTTTGACTCCTCTCGGCCTCAGTTTTCCACATCTGGAGAATGGGCCTCGTCACTGTCCACCTGCCAGAGAGCTGACCAGGGTGGGTGCCGGGCCCTGGCCGTGGACCTGGGCCGGGGGGTAGGGAATCCACGAGGGAGTGAGCGTCCCGGTGCCCCCGCCTCTCTGACCAGGCCAGGGAAACGCGAGAAGGAACTCGCCTGGTACCTCCCGGTGCTTTTTAAACGGAAACAGAGCTTCTAGCCCAGACTCTATTTTTGTCTCATTTTTCAATAATCAGCATATTTTTTCATGTAAAAAAAAACACCCGCTTTGCACCCACGTGCCAGGCTGGAGACACCCCGGCCCGTGACTCTCAGGGCCACCCCCACCCGCTCCGATCCTGCTCAGGCCCCGGAGTCTGCTTAATCCGAGGAAAGAACCTCATGTGGAACACAGGTCCCCGCGTTTCTCCCTTTCTCCGACCTCCCTGCTCTGCTCCCGCGCGGCCTCCCCGACAAAAGCCGATGCCTCCCTCGCTTCCCTAAGCGAGACACCGCAGGCCAGACCGGGTGCGCTAGCTCCCTCCTGGCTCGGGGTTGGCCTTGACTCAGTGCTGACCCTTCCCTCGCCGCCCAGCAGTCGCTGCTGTTTGCTCTTCGTACATGAGAAAGGGCGTCTGAGGTCGGGGTGCAGGCTGCGATGCGGGGAGCCTCCCGTCTCCTGCGGGCGCTGCAGCCGCGCGCTCTGCTGTCACACCTGCTAAGGGACCGGACTGGGCTCACGCGGCCCCCCTGCTTTCAGGTCTCCGCAGTGGCTGTCGCCAGGAAGGGGAGAAGCTGCCTCCAGCGGAAATCGGACTCTAATCCAAGCACATTGCTTGCTATTAACCGGCACAGGGCCTGCTGCCGACGGGTGACTTGCGTGTTTGCAGAGCCCGGCCCATTGGAAACTTTCCTTGACACGCTGCCTTCGGACCCTCCGGGATGGAGGGCGGGAGTGCGGCACCGTCCAGCTTTGGGAACTTGGTTTTTATATTTTCCCGCGAGAACTTTTCTAAGAAGTGGCCTTGCCGCCGGGTCCTGTGCAGGGCCCTGGGCGCTGCCGGCTGGGACCAGGCCACCCCGTGCCTCTCCCCAGCCCTATTTTTGAATTCAAAGAATCTATTTAAAAATTTAATATATGAGGCTTCCTTTCATTCCTCCCCAGCCCTTAAATGGACACAGAAAAGAGATCTACTGTTTGAATAAAGTGACCAGGGACTCGTGTGTCGGTGCCTTACTTCACGGAGGGACAGGCGCGGGTCTGGCGTCCTGCCTGGTGGCCCGGGGTCCGCCGGCTCAGCCCACCCTGTCGGTCCCCGCGGGCCCCGCGGTCTGGTGATTAGCTGGGAGGACCCAGAACTCAGAGAACCATTAGTCTCCCGTTGACGGTTTACTGCGGCCACGGGTGCAGAGCAGCACCAGCACCGCCACCGGCACCGGCGGAGCCAGAGGGACCGGCCTGAGCTCCCGGCGGCCCTTCCCTCGGGGTGTGGACGCTCCTGTTCCAGCCCCACTGGGCGCCCAGAGGCCCTTCCCTCAGGGTGTGGATGCCCCTGTCCAGCCCCGCTGGGCGCCCAGAGGCCTGCGGTGCTGCCTGGGGAGCAGCCACCTCGTCTCCGTCTCCGGGTGAGCACAGCATCTGCCTGGACCTGCCCGAGCCCCGTGTTCAGAGACGCCCCATTAGAATATTCCGGGGGGCTTCTCGGCCTTTCTGCCTCCCCATGCGTGGGTGTGAGCTCACCCCGCCTGCGGGGGGGCCCTTCCCTGCTCGGCCCCAGATGCCGGGCTCGGGACAGTTCTGCATCGAAAGATGGTGAGTGAGGCGGTGGGAGGGAGTGACTTGGGCCAGTGTCCCCGCCACGTGCACATGTGAAATGGGGAAGTTAAACCCCCGGGTGATCGGGAGGGGCCCCGGGTGACAGTGGAGACCGCGGTCCGACGGGACGGGCAGGGGCCGCACTGTGTGCACAGGAAGCTCCTGGTGGGCATCACCACATCCGCCTCCTCCACGCTCCCACCCCCTGTTGCTGCAAGTCCCACCGCCCCGCCTGAGTGACCTGGCACCGCGGGTTGTGAAATCTCAGCCCCGGGAGCAGCTGGGTGAGCAGGCGGTTCCACTGTCGCCTGGCTCCGCCCCGCGTGCCTTGGCTGATGTTGGTGCCTCCACTGTCGCTGTCACGTGTCGGGCTGGGCCGGTGGGAGTGTCCTAGGCTTTTCCGCTCCACACAGACTGACTGTTTTCACCGTTTATTTATTTGTGTGTATTTTCAGGGTTTTGTTTTCTTTTAGTGGCAGAGCCTTCCATACACACACACACACACACACACACACACACACAGCCGCGTGTGCAAGCTCCATCTACAGAACACAAAGCTGCGATCTGAGGAGGACCCCGTACCTGCCCTGAGCTCTGGCGGCTCCTTCGGAAACACTTTACCACAGTCAAGTTCTGCATTTGTTTGCCTGGTGATTGGACTCGCGTTGGTCTAACT